TCAATTTGTGTTCATAATTGCCGCAATTGTTCACAAATATGTTCAATTTGTGTTCATAATTGCCGCAATTGTTCACAAATATGTTCAATATGTGTTCATAATTGTCACAAATGTTCATATATGTCAATTTGTGTTCATATGGGTGTATACATGTCAATTTGTGTTCATAATTACCAAGACACTCGCTTTGATTATTTATTTCATTTCCCGATCTCGAACTCCAACTGTCACCATAAACAATTTTAACCTTCTCAATGTTGTCGTGTTGTTTTCCAATGTCTTTATCCATAATTGCTTGAACGATAACAAACACTTTACTAGCGGATCTCCTCCACCAAACACAAATTTATAAATATTAAAAATGGAAGATCAATATTAAAAAAAAATTCACAAGATCAATATTAAAAATGCAAAAATAATGGGATTTTATGGATCTTGTAATTCTCAATTAATGATATAGGAGTTACAATTTTTTTACCCATATACCCTTAACATTAAATTCATATATAGTGAAGAATCTAATACTAAGATAGATTATGATTGGTCTAAAATGTTTATAAAATTAACACAATAATTTAGATTAACATTTGAACTAAGCTATATATATATATATTAGAAAATTACTCGCGTAATGCAGCGAGACACATCTCGATTTTAATGTTCTATTTTATTATTTATAATATATTCAAATTTATATTTAATTCAAAAATAAAAACATTTTCTTTTTCTCAAAACCACATAAAATCACATTATAACCCCAAAATATAAAAAAAGAAACAATAATCAAGATTTATCTCGCTGCATTGCGTGAGTATTCTCTATATTATATATTTAGCTTTTAATAGAAAATATAAGATCCCCCCCCCCCCCACACACACACACACAACCGAACTAAGGTTAAGTTAGTTAGAGGTAGCCGGTAGGGACTCGATGCATAACAAAAGTGAAACGATAATGATAATACTTGTAATTCATTTGTTTGAGGGATCCAATCCAAAACTTTGAGAGAAACCACAAGGACCAATCTACAATTTACTCTTAACATTAAATAAAACGTAATTTTATAATTACAAATGAAGGTTCAGATGAAACCCCTCTGGATTATACAAACTCATTTATCCACCATCCATTTTTTTAAAATTAATAGTGATTACTATCGATCAAATGATAACCATTGATAATTAAATAGACGCTCCTGATTTGATTACAAAAGTTATAGAAATGTAAATGTTTACATAATCACAGAGTTGTATAATTATAGAAATGATATTAACAAATTAAAAATGAAACCAAAGGCGTTTCTGCCATTGCAGGCGATTGGGCTACACGCTCCCACCAGGAAGGTAACCTCTGCCACCCCTCCACACCCTCCACTGCTACTTCCCCTTTTTAACTTCCATCTTCACCGGAGATTTCTCTCACCGCCATGAAGACGACTCATCATCTCCTCCTTAAAAATGGCTTCTTAGAATAGGGTTTTTTTTGTAGGCCGTGAAGCCCTTTTCTTCTTTACTATTATCATTGCACGAAGCGATCCTTCTCCTTCCTTTTTCCCCGTTCTTGATCTTCTTCATCTATATTATCACCTCATTTGAACCCTGCTCTACTAAGCTTTTAGGGTTTAATAGTCTACTGCATTTCAAAACTTTTTCCATTTTCGTATCTGCAAGCCTCACGAACTCATGTCGTATTCCTACTTCCCAGAAACTTACGCTGAGAAACCCGTACGGCAGCCGGGTCGATCCAACTATAACCCACCACATCTAAGAGACGAGAACATCAAACCATTCGGTTATCAGACTGGGTCTTCCCGGACTGGAAGTCAAGCACCAAACAATGGCCGCGGCCGCGGCCGCTATGGGGGTGGTGGTAGAGGCGGTGGCCGTGGTTTTGTACCCGGTTACAATGAAGTCGACAGACAGTTCCGTGAACCTTACAGGCGAACTCGAGACCAGTATGATGCTCTTGCAGAAAAGCTTAATGAAGTTGAGCTTGTTGATGAAAACCCGAGTATGGGGATTAATTTTGATGCATATGAAGACATACCCGTTGAAACTAGCGGGTCGGATGTACCCAAACCCGTGAACACGTTTTCCGAGATCGATTTAGGGGAAGCATTGAACGATAACATCAGGAATAGGTGTAAGTACGTGAAGCCAACGCCCATACAGCGTCATGCCATTCCCGTAGCTTTGGCTGGACGTGATTTGATGGCGTGTGCACAGACAGGTTCTGGGAAAACAGCTGCGTTTTGCTTTCCGATCATAAATGGGGTTTTGAAATCACAGTCTCCGGCGGCGTCTCAGCCGGCGTTTAGACGGAGGGAGATGACGGCACACCCACTTGCTCTTATTTTGTCTCCGACCAGGGAACTCTGTTGTCAGGTGAAATCGTCATCCCATTGCCTTCAGCCCTTGACCTTTTTGTTTTTGTTTTTTTATGCAATATCTTTCATAAAACATCTTCTATACTTCATTTTATTATAATAATTTTTTCTGGGATGGAACTTTGCTTGATTAACCCTTCTTTTCTGGGATTGTGGGTCACCTTCTTTCTCTTCGTTTTATGGATTTTAAGTATCTGTTTATTTTGATGACTTTCTAGTTGGATTTGTGTTGTATTTTACTGATTCATGGCTTCTAATAGTTCATTGCTAATATCATGGTACATTTGCTCCTTTTCTAGCCATCATTTTAGTTGTGACATGTTTCATGATAATTTGACATGATTATTGAACACTGTTTTGTTAGATTCATGAAGAAGCTAGGAAATTCTGCTATCAAACTGGTGTTAGAGTTGCTGTTGCTTATGGAGGAGCACCCATTGGATCTCAGGTTTATGTATTGTTCAAAGATTCTTAGAATTTTTGTGATCATGAATGCATGTATATATTTGAATCTAATTAGGCTGGTTGCTAATGCTCTTCATTTATGGTGATGCAGTTGCGATCTTTTGAAAAGGGTGTGGACATTTTAGTTGCCACTCCAGGAAGATTAACTGATGTGATCGAAAGATCAAAAGTTTCTCTTACAAGGATCAAGTATTTGGCTCTTGATGAGGCCGATCGAATGCTGGATATGGGGTTTGAACCCCAAATCAGAAAGATTGTCCAGTGTTTGGGTATGCCTCCACCTGGCCGGAGGCAAACCATGCTTTTTAGCGCAACGTTCCCTGAACAGATACAAGTTAGTAATGCTGTTTTCATTGATTTATGCATCTTTGAGATCCATAATTAGTTCAATTAATCATATCCAAAGATGATCATGAATCTTTATGCATTTTCTTGATGAGGATTTCATTTGATTCCTTCATTTAATAGCATTTCAGAGTGAATCTTTGTGGGTTTGTCGAATGTTTTCATGTTGTTTTTACTGCTGAGTTTTCATTGCAGAGGCTTGCATCGGATTTTCTTTCAAACTACGTATTCCTTTCTGTCGGAAGAGTTGGTTCGAGCACTGATCTAATTCTCCAAAAAGTTGTTTATGTTGATGATATGGAGAAACAAGACTATTTAAGAAACCTTCTCCATGAGCAAAAAGCTAAGGGAAACCTTGGAAAGGTAGAAATTCATCATTTATGGTCTGCGTTTGCATTAATTATAGTTCTGTTATGTTTCTTATTGATGTGGTATCTTCTGGATTCTAGAATGCATTGACTTTAGTTTTTGTGGAGACGAAAAGAGGTGCTGAATCGTTAAAACATTGGCTGTGCCAGATCGGTTTTCCTGCCAGCACAATCCATGGTGACAAAGTGCAATTTGTAAGACCCTTTTTTCATCTTCTTTCTTCGATGCCACAATTTCTAGATTTTAGATGCCTGTGTTCATTCTGATATCCAGAAAAGCTTGCCGATAAACTAGTCATGTCTGATAAACCAGATGATGATGTAAAATGACACGAGTAATAACATCAAGTCATGATGGGATTGATAATGATGTGATTTTATATCGTTCAAACATGCAAATTTGATGTAGGAAAGGGAAAGAGCGCTGCAGTTATTCAAAAATGGTGTTACTCCAATCTTGGTTGCTACGGATGTTGCTTCAAGAGGGCTGGATATTCCACGGGTCGCTCATGTTATCAACTTTGATTTGCCAAAGGACATTGACAGCTACGTTCACAGGATTGGGAGGACAGGTCGTGCTGGTAAATCTGGATTGGCAACGGCATTCTTCAGTGCCAAAAACGCATCCATTGCGAAAGCTCTTTCTGAGGTTATGAAAGAAGCACATCAAGAATCACCAAACTGGCTAGCTCAGTATATTGATGGATCTTCTTGTGGTGATCGTCGTTATAGATCCAGCAGCAGGTTTGGTGGTAGGGATTACCGGAGCAGCACAAACAGTAATTCGTACTCTGCAGACAATAACTCCTACTCAACTGGTTATGGCGCTGCTGATTATGGTGGGGAGAACGGCGGATCTGGATATGGCTCTGCAGATTATGGTGGGGCGACTGGCGGATCTGGATATGGCTCTGCAGATTATGGTGAGGCGACTGGCGGATCTGGATATGGCTCTGCAGATTATGGTGGGGCGACTGGTGGTGTGGACTATGATCCTCCTGCTCAGGCCGAGTATGGTGGACATGGGTATGAATCCATTGTTGCTGGTGGATGGGAATAGGTGATGGATAGCCATTATTGGATTGGGATATAACAACACTTCTTCTATGACACATGGTTTTTGCTATAACACTACTTACAAAGATGGTAATATTCAAATGAAATACAAGTGATATGCAGAAACACTTGGAAGCATGATGATGCTGATGATATGGAGATTGTTTCTTTTGGTTATGCTTAAATCTTTTTTGATATAAAATTTTCTACTTTTTAAAGCACATATATATATATATATACATACACTATAAGGATATTCGTGCAATGCAGCGAGATATATTTTTATTTTAATGTTTTGTTTTATTTTTTGTTTTTGTTGATGTAATATGGTTTATATGGTTTTGAGAAAGATAATGTTTTTACTTTTGAATAAAAATAAATTTAAAGATATCATAAAAAATTTAAAAAATATATTGATATTAATATCAAATTAACTATTTAAAAGTTTTTATTTTTTATACAATTATTTTAAATCAATT